CCCCTGCCAGCGCCAGGCGTCCTGCCTCACGCAGCGGGGCTGTGTCCAGAACAGCGGCCCCCGTGGCCCGGTATTCTTGCCTCCAGGCCTCCTGTGCCCCAGGCCGCCCCCCGGGCACCCAGCACAGGCCCCGCCGGCACCGCATTGCAATGGACTCTGGTTTCCACTAAAGGGGCCGGTGCCGTGGGAGGAAGGGCCGTCCACTTCCCCAGCACCCGCACCCGCAGGCACCTGCCCAATACCTACTTGTTGCCTCCTGGATCAGCTGCATGAATGAATGAATGAATGAATGGATGGATGAATGGATGAATGAATGAATGAATGAGTGAGTGAATGAGTGAATGAGCTGTAACCTCAGGAAGCAGAGTCATGGGAAGACGGGCAGGAAAATAGTAACCCCTGAGGGAGGAAGTCCAGGTGGGGGCTACTGAGGGGTTCCCATCTCTCCCCTCTGGTGACCGGCTCTCCACACAGCCCGGCTGGGCGCCTCCTGGACAGAAGCTGCCCATGACCCACCTTCGGCTGGAAGCCTGGGCAAGGGAGGAAGGATTTCAGCCACAGCCAGGCTCCGTGGGGGAGGAGGGCTGGAAAGAGATCTGTGTGCTGCCAGGCCAGGGGGGCAGGGAATGCCTGCCATACTCGAGGACTCATGGGGAACCCCCTATATTCCCCCAGTCAGACCCCATGGGGAGCCCTGGGGGGGCCCACAGCCCCTGAATGACTGTAGGAAGCCCAGCGTGGCTCGCAGCTGGAGACCGGGCCGCCCAGACCCGTGCCCTCCCTGCAGGCACCCGGGGGACACCTGTGAGGGGAAGCTGAGCAGGGGAAAGCAGAGACAGCGGCCGGCCAGCCTTGCTCCCGGGGCCAAGGAGCGTCGGGGGGACCAGGGACCCCAAAGGAGAGGAGACAGGCAGCAAAATGGGGCAGGACTGACTGCTCACAACACCCCTCTCCGCCCAGAGCCTGGGCAGGCCTGCGAATCGCGGGGGCCAGAGAGCTGGCCCTGGCACTGCAGTCGCCCCTCTTGCCCGAGGGCTGGGCGGCTGTCTCCGGCGGAGGAGAGGCTGCAGTGCCAGAGCGTCGATGAGCCAGACCCCAAACTCCAGAACCAGCTGGAAACGGCGGTCAGGGCCCGATGACTCACTTTCCCAGCAGCTGGCCCGTCCTTGCCTTTCTCACGGCTCGCCTGCCTGCTGGTCCCTTTGTTGGGACCAGAGCCCCCCCAGACTTGCTCTTTCTGTCGCCTGGCATCTCAGTTCAAGGAGGAACGTGGGCCTTTAGGCTCCTGTCCCCGGGCCCGCTCCCCGCACTGCACGGGGCCCTGGAGGGGCTGGGACCTGTGCCGTATGCGCCCACGCTGGCCACTGCGCTGGGCTGGGGGCGAGGCGGGTTGGCATCTGAGCGGGCAGGAACCTGGACTGGGGCTCCTGACCGAGGGCGGACCTCACCAAGCACCCAGGGGAGAGAGAACCAGGGTTAGGGGGGGAGGAGACCAGGTCGAAACAGATCAAGAAAACGAGGACTGGGGAGGGGGTAGGAGAGAGGCAGTTCTCGGGCACAGCCCTAATCACAGCCTTGCAGTGAAGTTTACTGCTGCGCTCAGCATGGGACCCGCCACACCAGCTCCTTCTGTTTGGATTAGGCGATGACATCATGGCCACGGGCCCGTCACTCCCGGCACCAAAGGAAGAGGAGGGTGGCAGGCAGGCGGGACCGGGCCTCCTGCCTCTCGGCTCCCAGGGACAGGAAACCGAAACCACAGACACTCAGCTCAATCACCCTGTGAGCTGGGCAGTGGCTCCCCAGGTGCCTGCCCCCTGCCCCAGCCAGCCCTGATCCCTGGTCCCCAGCACGCCAGCTCAGGCTGCTCGGGATGGTGGAGGCCTGGGTTCCCACCTCGCTCCCCGCCCGCTCCCTGACCCGCCCGGGAGGAAGCACATGACCACGTGCCCGGCGCCAAGAGGAAATAGCTGGGCATGAAAGCACGCACAGCTGCCTCCCAGCCCTGCCTCTCCGAGTCCTTTGTTTTCACAGGAACGGGTCCCAGGGAGGATCCAGGGGGAGCGTGGCGATGTCGGGACAGACAGGTGGGCGAGGGAGGGGGAGAGGAGGGCAGAGCTCAGGTGGGTGCCCCCCGGCCCTCCCGCACTCACGGCAGGCAGGCGGCGGGCGTGCAGGATGGACCCTCTGTGTCACGGGGAGGGGAGCGCAGGCTTCCCCGCTCACAGCCGCCTGCCTGGAGGAGGTGTTCGCTGCTCTCAGCCAGGCTGTCGGCTCAGGTGTGGCCATCTCTTCAGGCCAAAGACTTCCTGTTGACCCCCCAGGACGGCCCGTGTCCCCCCTTCTCGCGGATTCGCTCCAGTCTGGGCCAGGACAGCGCGGTGGTGTTGGAGTGGTGCCGGGACCTGCTCCGCAGCTCGGGGAAAGGGGTGACTCTCCAGTCAGGCTTGGAAGTGGGGGCCCTGGCTCAAGGCCGCCTTTGCCCAGGGGAGCCTGCCTAGCGGGAGGGCAGGGAGGTGACAGGTGCTCAGGCCGAGGAGGGAGACAGGCCAAGCCCCACGTCCTGAGCGATGCCCTGGGGACAGCCTGAAACACAGCCCGGAGGCCGAGCCCAGAGCGCGCAGGTGGGGCTCCTGGAAAACCCGTGCCAGGCCGGTGTGGGCAGTGCTGGCGGGAAGTGCTGTCTGTTACTCCTGTCTGAGGAGCAGGACGCGACCTCTGACCTCTGTCCCGTCACCTCCTGTCCCACCACCTGGAGCCACTCCTCTGACTCTTTGATGAATGCCTTTTAGAGAGCTCTTATTTTTTTATTTTAAATATGGGGTTTTTTTTGCCCTGGCTGGTTTGGCTCAGTGGATAGAGCCTCGGCCTGAGGACTGAAGGGTCCCAGTTTCGATTCCAGCCAAGGGCACATGTGGGGTTGTGGGCTCGATCCCCAGTGCGGGGCGTGCAGGAGGCAGATGACCCATGATGCCCTCTCATCACTGATGTTTCTATCTCTCTCTTCCTCTCCCTCCCTCTCTGAAATCAATAAAAATATATTTTAAAAAAATGTAAAAAAAATATGTTTTTTATTGATTTTGGAGAGGAAGGGAGAGGAAACCGAAACCACAAACACGCAGCCTCAATAACCCCTGTGAGCTGGGCAGCGGCTCCCCAGGTGCCCCCCCTGCCCCAGCCAGCCCCGGTCTGCAGAACTCCAGCTCGGGCTGCTCGGGGATGGAGGAGGCCTGGGTTCTCACCTCCCTCCCTGAGAGAGAGAGAGAGAGAGAAATATCAATAATGAGAGAGAATCCTTGATCGGCTGCCTCCTGAACGCCCCCTACCGGGGACTGAGCCTGCAACCCCGGGCATGTGCCCTTGACCGGACTCAAACCTGGGCCCCTTCAGTCCGCAGGCGGCCGCTCTATCCGCTGAGCCAGACCTATGACCCACGCATACGTTAATTTCCCCGTAAATGAAATCAGATGCATGCTGTTTACTCAGGGACACTTTAAATGAAAACAATCTTTTTAGCATTCCTTG